TCATGCCCATTAAAGCTCGATTCTGATTAGTTGATATCAAAAAAGATGATATTTTCCTTATAATCGATGATTTTTAATTCGGCTAGGCTGAATAGCTTTTCTTTTCTGATTTTCTTTCACTTTAAAATCAATTGGTTAGTAAATTGCTGTTTTTATTCATTTTTCGAGGCTATTCAACTCTTCTTATCTAAAAATTTGGCGTTTTCTGAATCTCCCGTTCATTCTCCACTTTTTTTTCACTTATTGAAATGCCGTCAATGAATAGAAACGAAAGCGTTGCATGACTTGAATGTGGCAGAGAATAAAGACGTAAAGACGCATCAAGACATCGTAAGTACTGTGGCGTTTCAAAGTGTTCCAATTGTAACTTTTATACATATAGCAGCGAGGATATCTTTAATCTTTTCAAGAAGAAGCATTGTCAACAAAATGATAAATCATGTGTTCAGCAATCTCGAAACAGTTTTCACGAGAAGGTAAATTATATATTTTTTCTTGTAAAAAACCTAAGAGAAAATACTTTCAGAAAATTTTTTTCCAAATTTGAAAAGTTTATACAAAAAATTTGTAAAATTTTTAGTAAAATTTATACAGTATTTTCATCACTATTCATCACTATTCATCACAGAACTGAGGTAATAGTGCGTCAAAGTCGTGCACTCCCAGTGTTTCGGTAAATAGTTTAAGGTCATATTCAGTAATAGATTCAGTTGGTAGTAATGGAATGTTTGTAAAAGCACCTTCAACATTGCATGTGCATACTTTCAGTCATGTTTTAACTTCTTCAATCTTGCCATGCTTAAACATGAATTTTGTATTTGGATTTTCTGCACGAGCTTTTTTGAGTTGTTGTCTGAGGTTGTATTGTTTTTCTTTTTCTGATTTTGTCAGGTCTGGGTTAATATAATTGCTTTTGTACGCTTCATTTTGTTGAATTTTCTCTGCCGCAGCTAGCCGTCCTTTCTTGAGTTTTTCATGCGTGCAGGTAACAAGTAATAGCTGAAATCCATTATTATTCTGTCTCCCAATGCGTTTTGTTTTGAAGTCATATTTTCAGTAACGCTCAGTTCTGTGCATATTTTTTTTTCTAAAAAAATTAAATTACAAAAGGGGCCCTTCCGTTTAGTTACGGTAAGTGCACAAGCTGGATAGGGCATACCAGCGATATAAAAATGCATATATATCAGCAATGAAGTCATAAATCAGCATTAAATGCATCGTCGTAATGTTAATTTATCTTAGCCGTCCTTCCTCTACAATAGCGCTTATGGAGCTGTCGATAAATTGAGCTTTGCGTAGCGATCTGCACCCCCTTATACAAAGTATAGAGCTCCTCAGGAGCGCGAAGCTTATTTTAGTTGTTATGTGGTTTATAGATTCTGGATAGCTTTCTTGTCTTTTTTCACTTAGTTTTTCGGCCAATCGCTGCATCGTCCGCGTGGCTGTTGGAGCAGCGCCACCGGTGCATCCAAAGATAAGCGGGCAGAAGCTACTCTGCTCTACGTTTAGTATTTTTTGCTGATATTTGGAGTTCTTCAGCGTTTCGTGGTATTTGTATGAATCCTTATGCAGTTTTCGCGATGTTTTGGCATCAAAGAAAGCGCGGCTGAATCGTGAACCCCAGAGTCCGTTTGCCTTAATGTCAAGTCGTGCTTCATCTTCAGTTGTAGCTGAATTGTTGACAAAGCTTGAGGTCATGGCAAACCTCGTTCATGAGGTTGGCGAATGTGTCTCTTATTTCATTGTGTCTTATGTGTGTGTAACCACCCTTTGCACAATGAAGCGCAAGTTAAAATCAGCACCACATGCACATGTGAGTGGGGTTTTGGTTGGTTCGCATCCGTATCTTTAGTAAATACCATCTCTGAACTCTGATTTATTCAGGTTGAAGTTGTATCTGCTCAGTGGTAGAGCATTGAGCCAGTTAGAGGCTCCCTTTTCAGAGGCCAGGTCGATTGCGTATTTATTTGTTTCATTTAATGAGTTGATGAGGTTTGTTTTTTTTTCAATTTGTTCTATCAGTTTTCAATTTTTTGATTTTCGTACATATTTTTTCTTGCTATGTTACTGCTGTAATAGGATCTTGAGATTCCAGTCCCAGTGATGTTTCCTTAGACCATTCTAGGTAGCTTTCATGATCGGATGGCAGCTTTATGTTAAGTCCGCCCATTTTAAGGGGTAAGGAAGATATCTCACGGAACTGGGGGTTTGAAGTGTCTTTACCGACTAGGATAGGTAATATAAGTTCTTTGATAATATTTTCACATATTTCTAAGTTTTCCTTAAATTTAGGCGTTGTCCTGGCAAGAAATGAAAGCTTTTCTTGAACTCCTTTAGTATAGCAGGCATAAACGTTTTGAGGAGAGGTTTTAGCAATTTTCATTAGTTTTTTCAAAATTTTGATTTGCTCATTCTGTTGAAATTCGAGGATATTTTAACATTCAGATTCTGTTCCTATAACTGAACCAAACACTCGGGCTCCTGCCTTTATAGTGATTCCTGTATTTGGGAAGATTTTCTGAGCTTCACCGAGTTTTTCATCTTTGACAATGAGTTGGCATTTGGATGCTTTCACGTGGTAGCCGAAAAATTTACTCAGTGATACAATTTTATCGAGGACGGTTTGTATATTGCTTAATTTACCGACTGCGTTTTCGTCGTCTGCGTACCATTTCTGGGTTACATCGTCTACTGATAAAAGTTTTATGAGGGGTATTATGGCCAGACCGTACATGGCCATTGCTAGTGGATCCCCCTGGGTTGTCCCTTCTTGAGAGTAGATTGTTTTTTTTTGTTAACGAATAGCTTAGATGAATTAGAGTAGGAGTTCTAAATTGCTGTTAAAAGGGAAGGGCAGGTATTTTCGATGTTTTTTAATGCCAGCTTCCGGTTCAGCTAGTTGAAAGCGTTTTCGGCATCTATCAGTAAATTACCATCGAAGGAAGTTTTACTGTATTGATCTCTTAGCGTGTGGATCGCATATTCAATGCCACATTTTTGTCCTAGGCAGAATTGGTAGTTTGAACCGAACGACATGAGTTCGTTTTTCAGGCATTTACTTATTGTTCCTCCTATTATCCTACGCATAATTTCTCCTATGCCTATGGGTCTTACCCCTGGATTCTTATCTAAGGGTATTAATCTGCATGCGTTATATGGTTCCATTAGTTCTGGATTTAGTTCTTCTGTGGCCAATTTTTCGACAATTTTAGCAATTGTTTTTGAAATTTCAACTGATTGTTGCCCGAAGTGTGTTGACCGTTTATCTGATCAAATATCGATGGATGGAAAGGAATTAATTCGTTTGAGACTGGTGTAATATAGTTCTCATTAATTGGTTTAGATGGTGGGTGTTTCTCTATAAGAGTCTGTTCTACGTCTTACCTTTGACAATCTCGTCGAGCGAAAGAACGCCTTTAGATGTGTCTGTTAGTTTTGCAATTGCGCTTGATATTTTTCCAGTATTCATTAGTTTGTTGAACTGTTGTGCTTCAGTTTCAGTTTTCTTCTACTTCCTTTCAACAAGCGCATTTGCAGCGCCTTTCCTTCGTTGTATAGTCCATCCAGGTCTCCGTCTTGCCATTGCTTAAGTCGCCTTGCTCTTGTTTTGGTTAAAGATCCATCAATTTTGGACTTTGTTTTGCACAGTAATAAGTGTGGAAAAATCATTGCTGCGTGCATTGCGAAGGTATTTTTGTTGTTTTCTATTAGGCTGTTCAAAGTTCTATTTAGGGTTTCAAAAAAGTTATAACCGACTTTATTTTTGACAAGATCAGAAGGACCGGTTTCCGATATTTTCCTGGTGGTTTCTATGAGTTCTGGACAGGGGTTTGACCATGGGTCTTGTGTTGTTCTGGGTTCTATAGTGGAAGACTCTCCTGAGTTTTGTGAGTGTGGGGCAATGGAAGTGTGAGGGTGCATTTGGGGGAGCGTGGTTGTAGCTAGGGTTGGGGGATTGCATTCATGCTTGTCGTTAGCTGAATGAAATTGGGAGGTGCAGCGATGACATATGAAATCGTCATAGTGATCACTGCTGCGGGCTAGGCCGCTGTCTTTTACATGCATGTAGCCTGGGCATGTGAAGGAACAAACACCTCCGCCTCGCAGACTGCTTTTACAAATAAGGCAGTGTGTTTGAGGAAGGACGGCGGTGTCAAGTTAGCGAGAGAATTTAAAGGATAAATTTTGCAAGAAAATTTGAAAAGAAATCTTTACCGTAGAACGAGAAATCGATGCCATCACGGCAGAACATTTGAGGGGGTTAGATTTAGGTTGAGGTTAGGCGAAACAATAAGTGTATGGGGGTGAACAAATCTATTTATCAAATTAAACAGCAAACAATTATGAATATAAATTTTGCGGTTTACTTCGGAATTATTACAGATCTGAATTGTTTTGGGGATGATCAGTGTCTCGGGCTGAAATTTGTTAGTGACGAGGTTAATCAAGTTTTTCCACTGCTGTTCTAATTCTTGTGGATGCAGCCTGTTGTCATTGTATCCAGCAACTATTGTTACTGTATTTAGGCGCTTTGGTCTGTATTGTAAAACTGTTTCAAACAGATCATGAAGCGTTGCGCTTTGTTAGGGGTGAATTGTTGATTTTACTAGAGCTGGTTTGATATATTTGGTCCTTGAAGTCCCGATAACTAGTTGCTGTTAGAACTCAGGGATGCGTCTTGCCTGGAATCGCGGCATCAACCTGAAACACAGACAACTGGGGCGAGAAAGGAAGCACTTTGGGGTGATTTATGAATACTTTCACTTAGGGTTTAAAATTGCTGAGGCAAAGGTGATGAAAAAAAAGAAAGGAGTGGTACAACCTGACGTCGATTTGGAGGTCGATTCACCAGCTCACTCTTTTTTGCGTCTAGTTACGCCAGGGAAACTTCACTCGCCTACGGCTGGGACGGCGAGATTTGGTAAGAAAACCAGAAGAGGAAAGCCCAGCGCGCATATGATATGAAAACACACAAGCGGTAATTTTAAACAAAGAAATCTATTTAATAAGTTTATCACAACAATTAGGACCTTTGGAAACTAGGTCTTTGTCATCGTCTGTTGGCTTTGTTCCTCTGATGATAAGGTTCGTTGCTTTCTTTTTCTTCTCGTCTTCTTCAGATCTGATATGTTTCAGGATTGCAGCGAAAGTTGGCTTATGCGAGTCGCTCGTTTTTTCTTCCTTTTCATTGATTGATCGAGTCGCAATCTTTGTTGCTAGGTTTCTAGGTCTTTAGCTTTCGCTGCCGCGCAGAAACCGCAGAGAATTCTCTTAGGTAATCAAACTTCTCTCGAAGTAACAGAGTTGGGTCCGGGGCATTCCACGAGGTGTTCACTTCCTTCTGCCTCGGTCTCACTTTCGCATTTAGCGGTTTCTCTCCGTTTTGGTCCCATGTTCCGTTTTGGTCCCATTCCCAAAATTTCCAGACATTTAATATGAAACTATTTAATCACAAAAAGTTTATCACAACAATTAGGCTTATGCGGTTTAATATGAGTACCGAAGGTGTGTTACACGCTAGTTTGACTAAAAGGCAAATTCTTAGCAGGTTTAGGCACACTTTTTTTTCGAATGTTTACACTATCTTGTTTTTTTTTAATGCTTAATAGCTTTGATTTCTATGCTTAATAGCTTTGATTTCATGGATTTAGATTTTTGGCAATCTGGGAATAAATTTTTTTCGGCTCTTTATTGTTTTTGGTTAGCAGGGAGCACAGAATTTTTATGGTACAAAAGAAATAAGAGCAAAACTGAAAAAGTCGTTGGAGATGGACGCAAGGAGCAGAGCAGGTGCCATAAAAGTGTTCAAAACCAAATTTTTTTGTGAAATTTAGGTAAAAGTTGCTGGCACAAAAGGACTACTTTATTGAAAGTAATTCTTGTAGAAAATTATGGTCATTTTCAATCTCAGAATCACAATCGCATCCAATTTCTTCCAGCCCACGTATCATCACATTTTGCTTACACCTTTCGTTCATTCTAATCACTTTCTCAGCCAGCTTTTTACCAGCATTCGCAGATTGTTCATTTCTTTTTTTTTCAGCTTTTCCTTCAGCTTGTACACCTGGTTGTTCTTCGACTCCTCAAGCTTTTTCCCTAGTTTTGACATCTGAAATTTTTTAGAGACAAACTTCGTCCAAAATTGGTCGCTGTTGGTAACTACATTGTGCAGCACTCTATTTGCTCTCTTTTCACATTTATGTAGTTTTTTTTCATCTCAATCACCAACGTAGTCGGGCGCTTCTTGTTTTCGGCATCTTTTATTTAATTGCTTGCAGATGTGCATTTTGATCAGATTCTGTTTGAAGAATTTTTCTCATGTCACATATGGTTTGCTTCATTTCTTACACTTGTTTCCATGATCAATAGCCGTATACTATACAAATGATATATCCTCTGCTACTGTCACTTTTTCTGCTGTCAAATTCTTTGGCAAATGAACATCAGTCCATACTTCGTGACAGATAAGACAGGACTGATTTGATCCACAGAATTGGTTCTTTTTTGTGTGGTGACTGCTGTAATATCTACACGCTCTTAATACTAGTAGCCAATAGAGATGTACCGGATTCCGGAATCCGGCAATTTTGGGATGTCAATCCGGATCCGGAATCCGGTAAAAAGTAACCGGATTTTACCGGATTTGATTCGCCTAAAATTTGTTGAATTCTCAGTAAAAAAATAAGTTTGCAACTGTTTTTATTCAAGCTGTTACACAGAAGTTTTACTCAATGTATAAATTATTGAAGAAGTAAAAAGTTATCATGAATCAAAACAAGCTGTTCGGAAAATTCTGGTAGAGTAATAGCAGTAAGTAGCAGTAATACTTTATTTCAACAGCTGCACTCAAATTACTGACAAACAATTAAATGAAATCCGGAATCCGGAATCCGGTTCTTTTTTTACCGGATTCAATCCGGATCCGGTAAGTTTCGATCCGGTCACATCTCTAGTAGCCAATCCAAACGGATCCCAAAATACGTGTCAACGGCCGTAATCTGTCAGGCAAAATAACTAACAGAGAGGGTTGATCGAAAATGCACCCTCAAGAATTGAAAAGTTGAACTTGAGGATTGACGATGTCCAAATGTACAAGTTGAATTTAACGTTACAATTTGTCGTCCAGATCCAGGTTGTGTGATAGTACAGTCCCCGCATGATGAGGTAATATTCTGAAACTATTTATTAAGTTTATCACAACAATTAGGCTAAACAAATGAATTGCTTTGCTTCAGTAAGCCAAAGCTTTGCTTCAGACAATCACTAGAAAATCCTTGGATTCCGACTGGATAATGTGATGAAGGGATTCCTGACTGTAACCTTGGTTACTATGACACTTTGGACCTTCTGATTACTACACAGAAAAGATAAATAAGAAATCACAATTATCATATCGGGTCCTGGAGCTTTGCTGTTGGCCTGTCTAGATATTGCTTGTGTGACTTCTGGTAATGAAACTAGGGCGGTCAAGTTTGTCGTTATAGTCAACAAGTTTATCACAGCAATTAGGCTGAAGCCCCCCATGACACATGAGTGGCTAAAAATGTAGGAGCTTTAACCCTTCAGAGGGTTAAAAGTATATAATGTAATGCCACGCTGATTTCTTGGGGGGGGGGGGTTGAACAGGTGTAATTTCCTAGCCATTTATATATACTACTCACAGCTCCATATTTGGAACAAAGGTAAATTCAGGAGCTTGGCGTTTACCCGCGGGATTATAAAATGCCATATATACAAAATAACAGAAAAAAGTTTGCAATGACGCCAGATACACAGAAAAACGTTACCAGATTTGCATAGAACAGAAAAAAAACACTCATGAGCAGTACCGGGACATGAGGACGGTGGAGTTCCCTTTTTGCAGGACAACTGACAGCTGTTGCATAAGATAGCAAGCAGCTTGCCCGGGGTCGGCACAGGCAGAGCGCGCTGCTGCCATCGAAGCAATGCGACGAATAGTTTTAGCGGCAATGGGCGAGCACCCGCCAAGGGCCTCGACAGAGAGGGGCACAAACGAGATGCCAGCTTCTTCGCATGCGGAAAGGTGCTTTGTGAACTTTCGCTCGTCGGATACTTCGTGGGCGTGACCGGCACTAGTTCCAGCACTTTGCAAAGTAGATGACTGCAAGGAACTAATGACGGTCATGTCCAGAGCGGCTGGACGACCTCGAGACCAACAGGGGAGATAAATGTCTCCCGGGTGAGAGCGAGAAAAAGTGAGATTGGTTTTTTCTAAAATGGGGGAGAGAGATGTCTTAGCGGCGCTGTTGAAAACGACATCGCGCAGTCTGTCATGGCGCGATATGCGGTCTCCGTCGGCGGCGCAAGCGAGGGCGTGATCGCCGAACGTATCTAGAGTCCTGGAACATTTCGGACACGTAGACTCGCTGTTGAGTAGGGGAACTCCGAGTCGATAGCTAACTGCAAACCGAAACTCGGCTGCCGGAAGGGTTAACCCTAGCGCCTTCAGAGGGACTGCCGAAAGCCAGTCACCACTGTTGGGAGCGAACAGGAGAGCAGTCTGGCTCTGTCTCGGGGCGTAGAGGCGGATGACGTGAGCTCGGACCAAGACTTGGAATCAAGTAGGCTTGAAAGTTTCATTTGTGCTTTGGGGGCCATTAAAAGAATGTCAGCGTTTTCATTGAGAAACTGATTTAGACAGGTGCTAATGGAGAAGGGATCGCAAGTTCGCATGCTGAATGTGATTTTGGGAAGAGCTGCGCAGCTTCTCAAAAGATGTAATTCCAACTGAGGATCTTCCAAGAGACGGATTCCATAAGGTTTTTGCACTTTACTACTCTTTTCAGAAACATGGCTTGGATAAAGTCGTCGTTAGTCGAAATGGCAGCGCCCAGGTTCTTCAAGCCACTGCTCCGAACGGTAATGACATTAGGAAGAGCACTAAAATCCAGGTTGGGGTTGGGAGACCAAGCTTCACACTTCTCAACGATGACCTCCAGCCGACTTTAGCCATAGACGAAACTAAATGCGGAAAAACCTGAACAAGAAGATTAACATTGCCGACAAGGGAACCATCGTCAAGGTACCAGACGTTACAGGCGAGATCAGGAAATTGGTTTTTAAGAGCTGCAATGATGGGATGAATAGTAATGGCAAACAAGAGAGGAGCCAGTGGGTCACCTTGCTGGACGCCAGACGCGGATAGCCTAAGGGACTTACCTAATTTCAGCCAGGATGGTTGGTTGTAGCAGAACTCGACCCACCGGAGAAGCTGTGGAAACTGGGCGGCAACCTGCCGAAGAATAGAGGACCGGCCGATGGTGTTAAAGGCGTTTTTCAGATCGACCTGGAGAATAACAAAGTAGTGTCACCCACGGAACCAATGATCCCGTTCAGCGCGTGAGAAACGGCTTCACAGCCATCAGGAACGCCCACTCCGATCTGAAGAGGAACGAGCAAAGAGGCGGCTTTCTGGCTAGAAAGACGACAAAGGCACTTGGCAACAAGTCTGCGCAAGAGCTCACCAACTGCTATGGGTCTTATGCCACCATCTTTTTTCTTCAGCGCAAGAAGACTGGGTCCGCATAAGTAGGGAGCAATGGAGGTAGGAGCATCACCACGAGCAAGAAGATTGACAACGTTGAGAACGGCACAGATGGCCTGATCGGCGTAAGCGGGTGAAGGGCAAAGAAAAGCATAAGACAAGTGTTTGGCATAAAATTTGGAGACACCTGCAGCAGAGTCTTTTGGAAAACTCTTAACACAGTTGATTAATATGTCACGGGAAAGGCTGCACGGGATAAGATCTGGAGGAGGCTCGGGAGACAGCACGGCAGTGTCTGCAGGGGGATGTTTTTCTTGCAGGACCGATAAAGCCGCGTCATCAAAGCACAAACTCTCTGGGCAGAGCGCGGCAATGGCTTTACGGTAACTTCCTTCATGGCCAAGTTGCCTTGCGCGTTTAACATCGACTTCCCCGGATGGGACGGGCTTAACGACGAGAGGCTTAACGGAAGAAGTGGCTTCAAACCATAACTGGGTAGCTTCGCCGTTAAGCCACCTGTTCAACCTGGACTGAACATTGTTTTCTTCGTATCGCAGGTGCTTAGACCCACCGCGGGGAGGAGAACGCAAAACACAGTGGCTGAGGATAAACAACTCAATCCAGTTGTCGGTAACTGAAGGACTGTTCTTCACTTTTGCGTAAGTCGAAGAGACTACTCTGGCCCACAGGTTGCGACAGCTGACAGGAACGTGCTTTCTAGTTGGGATTGAAAACTTCTCTATGTCTGCCAAGGAAGGAAGAGGCAGCTTGGTGGCAAGATTCCGGGGTCTGTGACGGGAGCCATCACACTTCGAACCCTGATGCTTGTGGGACCAACCCCGAAGCACAAACTCCGACCTGCAACAGACACACGGAGCACCCCATGCGGGGTTCAATAGCAGAAAAAGCACCGTTAATATCAACAGAAGAAGCACCGTTAAAATCAACATTAGAAACAACATTAGAAAGATTAGCATTGTCAGAAATAGAGTTTGAAAGCAAACCGTAGCTTGGCGGTGAGTCTATATTGAGAGCGTCCATGTTCTGGGTGAGGCTAGTGTGCGGGATGGCTGCTTGAACGTCTATCGTGAGGTCCTTCATGCCTTATGTAAAGATGCTATGAGACTGAACTGGAGCTCGCTCCACTAGCAAACCCGTTGGTCGCTGATTTTTCCGCCAGAAAACGCGACCATCGTCTTGCACGCGAACGTGGCGAAGGGAAGACCATTGTTGGTTGCCAGGCTTCCACTCGACCAGGATCTGCGGGTCGTTTGCGTCCAGTACCCGGTTTGCTGTTCGATCCGTTAAATCAGGTGGAACTTTCTTCCACGGGTCGTTTTGTGCCAGACATCTAAAGACACTAAAACTGACTCAAAATACCGTGATCTTGGATGTGTCGACCAATGGTTATCACAATGTTTGGAGAGTGGAAACTGAATCAATCAGTAGAGTTGTCGATTAGTTAAGTAATCCTGAAACTATTTAATAAGTTTATCACAACAATTAGGCTAATTAGCTCCATATTTTGCTCTCGTATTCGTCCTGCCAGCTATCCCACCAACCATGAGCATTGAAGTCTACTTCAACAATCACTGCTCCTTGGGTCGGAGTGACTTTCTGCCTCAGCATCAAATCCGTTTTCGTGTGTAGGCCAGTTCGGTTAGGTGGTTCACACACAAAAACTGTGGTTATTTTCTCTTCCACAAAATGTGATAGCACCCAAATTCAACTACCTTCCTTCATCATCAAGAGCCTATGTTTCCTAAGAGGTACATTTTCCCGTCCAAGCGTCATAAGTAGGTACAGGAATTGAGCTGATGTAGGCGCCTCAGTTCTGCTCTCGTGAGGCCACTACATCTTTGAGGTATGTACATTCCGCAACACATTCACCACGCCGAGTAACAGTTCTAATATGCTCTTCAATTGCTTCGTATCGCCAATTCGGTTGCTGTGTTGGTTTTGCCAGTTTTTTTTCCAATTATGGCAGTTTTAAATCAAAATTTTGAAAATTTAGATTAACGAACTTTCTATATCTTCCTTTTCGTACTTTTTAAACCGCTACGGCCTTCCATACAATATTTATCTTCGCCTAGAAGGTTCGAATGTCCGACTGGCAGAATGGCGCACAGGGCAGGTAGTTTTCTCGAAGAAATCTGAAATCTCCCTCGCTAACCGGTTGACAATGCTGCCACTGCACTATGAATGATAAATTTACTGTCGATGATTTTTTTGTTTTTAGAGCCAAGGGTACGTCGACGCATCCTAGGATGAGTATTTGATAGACCCGTAGCTTCATATCAATCAACCGTTCTGAGGTTTATTCAACACCGTTCTCCGGTTTATTCTGTGCGGGTGTTAATTTTTTTAAACCTGGTTGATTTGATTTCCTACCATCTCGACTTTCTTTACTTTTATTCACGTTATATTTCCTTTACATTTTCCTTATTTATGAAATTTCAAAAAAAATGTTTCTGGGCGAAATGATGAAGGACAAGTGTAGCAACTTTGATTACCATGATAATTCCTGATTTATCATATTTCAGAAAAGATATGCCTGAAAATTCAGAGGTTTCTCCTGATCCTTGGACTGCTGCTAAGTCTGGAGATTTCGACAAAATCCAGGATTATATCCAGAAGCAAGGTGACCCTAATGCAAAAAACGATGATGGGTTCACACTTCTTCACAAAGCTTGCGTCGGTGGACAAGTGAGAGTTGCCAAGTTTCTCCTGGATAATGGAGCATCTGTCAATGGAGTTACAAAGGTTAGATTTGCGAATTTATGTTACAACAAAATCTTAATCCATGTTCTGGGTTGTATTTTTTGATTCCCTTGATCAAAGTTGATGACAGTATTTGTTTAGAAAGGGAGTATGCCAATTCACGTGGGTGGAAGAGCTGGTCACGTGGAAATAGTCAAGTTGTTGATCGACTATGGAGCCAGCATTGACAGCAGAACTACGGTATACTAACCTAAATTCGAAGTTAACTGCTAATTTGTAATGAGTGATGCTAAAGAAAATTCTGCAATTGAATTGAGGCCGAAATACAAATAACTCATTTTCTTGAAATGAAAATGCTTTCCACAGTAAGCTAGCCTTTCAAGCAAAATATTGAAGGCCAGAAATTTTATTATTTCACCCCTCCTCTGCTCTAGTATGCCAATGAAATTAAATCAAAAATGACCGGCAACAAATAACATAGCATAGTGCATGGAGACAATGCATACAGATCAGTCTTGAATGCCTATTTTCACAGGACTGCTGGACTGTTCTGCATGAGTCTTGCGATAACAACAAGATCGATATGGTTAACTTCCTTCTTCGCCAGAACGCAAAAGTGAACACAATCAATGAGAAGGGAAACACTCCGCTGCACGCAGCGTGCGAAAAAGGGAACCTTGAGATAGTGAAGATTCTCTTGGAGCACGGAGCAGAGAAAGATGCAGAAAACGTTGATGGGTTCACGCCCTTATTGAGAGCGTGCACTAATGGCCATCTCTTCGTGATCAAAGAGCTGGCGTCGAGAGGTGCAAATATTTATAAGACTACCAAGGTAAACAGTTGCCTATGATTGCTTACAGGAGTTTGTTGAGGTAGATAATGCATTTGAAGAAAAGTGAGAACTCTTTTCATTTTAAGAAAGGCAGTACAGCTATGCACCTGGCGGCAAGAGATGGGAGCAAGGAGGTTCTTCAGTTCCTAATCACTAACGGTTTTGACAAGGATGTCCGGACTCCTGTAAGTTACTACCCGCTGTTACGGCAATTAGTCGTCTCATGCAACATCGAACGAAGAATCTGAACCGCCATTACAAATGTTAATTGTTTTTAGGATTTGTGGACGCCACTACACGAGGCCGCAGATACTAACCACCCTGAAGTTCTTGAGTATCTGTTACGAGAGAAGGCAAACATCAATGCCCAGACACAAGCTGAAAACACACCCCTCCATTTGGCCGTTAAGAGGAAGAAGCTGGATGCCGCTCACAGACTTCTCAACGCAAGTCCAGCGCCTGATGTGACAATCAAAGCGAAAGGAAAGACTCCTCTCCAGATGGCCAGAGATTCAAACCTGGACCAGGCGCTCATTACAAAGATAGAGAAGCTGGAACAGAAGATTCTGGCCCAGCGCAACCAAAGTAGGCTCAGATTTTTGAAATTTAAGTGAATTGCATGGAGCTCATTGACCGATTATTTAACCTTTCAGCCGCATTGTGGTTTCATGCTTAATCTTATTAAGTATCAAGTTTTTTCGAAATACAATTCATCTTACAACAATTGAAGCAATTTTGCCATAATTCATTAGTCATTAGGGCAGACATGTTGTGAGGCAATAATTGTTTCAATTCAAAGTTTGGGCAACTTGAATTATTGATGTCTCAGATCACAACTGATTTATTTCAGCAACTGCAGTTTCGGACAATGCAGATGGAATGAGGAATCTGTCTATCAATGATCCAGTGGTGAGTTAACTAAAAATAGAAGTCGCTACACGTTTCCATTGACCTGAGACTTCTGATGATTGATTTGGAAATTTGATATCTGAAAACTGCAGATAATTAGTTAACATCATGCTGGTTTGTCCGATTTTTTTTTTCGTTTTGGAGTTTGTTTCTTGAAAAAATCTGGGCTCATTTTCGGCAGGATCAGTTTGGATTTGTGTAACATAAACTTTCACGTTTAAGGTGAGTTTTTTTTACCATTTGGGCAGCAGAAAATGTTATGAAGTTTTGCATATTGACATTTATAATAGCACAATCATTTATATTAGATAGGCTTTCGAAAAACACTTAGTGATAAAATTGATATTTCCTGCTTGACTGTTTTCTACGTTCAATGTTTGTTCTCAGGAGACGGATGTGTTCCTGTCGTATGACTACCAGAACCAGGCCAATGTGAACACTCTCTGTGACTGTCTGGAGAAGAACTACCGCGTCTGGTTCGACAAGAAGTACCTCACAGCAGGAGACAAGATCAACGAACAGATTGAACTCGCCATCCAGAACTGCAAAGTGAGCATCAAAATATTGATAGGAAAATGCTTAAGACCTATTCAAGTGAATTACAACCCTCAATCAGAGTCAAAGGGTTCCCTCCGATATGCAAGGTCATCGAAAGGCCTAGTCAAGCGATGCCTTGTTTCAGCCGTACAATTTCTCACCTAGATACTCCTAGAATACACAGATTAGAGGTTTCAATTGGTTCAACGTTTTCAAGTTTCTGCTGTTGTCTGGGTTAAAAGTTATCAGGGCTGCATTTAAAAAAATCGAAATTAAGTTGTGCAGTGATAGCGAATTGACTGAAACATCCGTAACTTTTTTGTTTTTGTTACAATAACTAAATTTTGGTACAAATAAGCCTAATGTTCTATAATTGCCCCTGATTCAGTTGATGATTGTGTGCTTGACCCCTGCATACCTGAGATCGAAGGCCCTGTGCAAGCAGATGCAGTATGCAAACGAGCAAGGCAAGAAACTGATTGGCCTCCGATTCAGCTCTAGTGCCATCAATTCCCAGAACCAGGATCCTCAGGTCTGTATGTTGTTTGGCCTCCCTTGATGACTGTTTTTATCGTTTATAAAAAACAGTAAAAAGTTTATTAAGGGAAGTTACGTAAAGCAGTCTGGCAAATTCAAAGTTGAACAAGGTGCAATTGTCTTATCGATATGTGGAGGAAACAATCACCGTAAATTTATTTTTAAAAATATTTTCTTGCGAGCCACCCATAGGCATAAAAAGAGAAGAGTAAGAGAGAAAATTAGAGTTTCAATAATTAATTAAATGTGTATTTTGTTTTAAGTTGATTCGAAAAGTTTTTAATGTTTTCAGGTGTCTCAACTCCTGATGAACATGGTCAGTATTAAGGTCATGGATTTGACGCATGGAGAAACAATGGACGAGAGGACCTACAAGTCGCTCCAAGGACACGTCGACAAACTGCTGGATGCTGAGCACTAAAGAAGAGTGTCTATCTAAGGCGTTCATCTTTCAGTATTTTTTAAACAGTGCTCATACATTTAATTATAAGAGGATCAATTTTAAAAGCCAAGATTTTTAATATATTAAATGTGAAAGACCCAAGTTGAAAACGGAGTTTTTAGGATTTGATATGGGAGATCAAAACGTAACATGTAAGATTAGTTAATGCAATGATGCAGTTGATTGATTTGATTGTAAACAGTTTTAATTTAAATTTTTAGTTTTGTAATAACACTAACTGTTTTTATTAGGTCAAGTTGAGGTTAATTTGAGCTTGAAGAAAGCACTTTAGAGGTAGGATTCACTCAGAGAAGTGAGTTGTTTTGTTCCTTCGCCAGTTTGACAAATTTCGAGAAACTTCGACTAATTAGTTAGCAATGTTTATTGAACAGGGTTTGTTCTTGGGTTTGAGAGATATTGATGCATTGAACTCCAAATTGAAGAAATGTTTCACCTTTGACCATTTTTGTCAAGTTATTACGAATCAATTAACGCAGTCAACACTCTGATATAGGTGATGATCATTTATTGTTTTTCAGAAAATTTGTTCAAGCTTAAATTTGATATTTCGCGGTTTCAATTTTGATTCTTACAAGTTCACTTCATTTCCCTTGATAAAAGGAATGAAAATTGCACAATCGAACAGCAGTTTTGTAAAGGTCACGAAAAACTTGACTGACTTCTGGTTTCCAAAGTGGATTTTAATTTGAAGACTTTCCAGCTGTATGTAAAATTTGTTTTGTACCCATTGATCCACTTTTCTTAAATTGGGTTTAGTTTATTAAGAGTAATGAACGTAGTTAGTACTCTTATATAGGTCTTGCTGATTTTTTTGAAGGAAAAAGTCTTATAATTTGCTCACGCTCAATTTTGATTTTTTGCAGTTTGACCTGTGATTTTTTTTTGAAGTTCAGTGCATTTCCATTGTTAAAAGGAAGGCAAACTCCACTATCGAACAGCAAAAGTTTAAAGGTCACGAAAAATGTGATCGACTTCTAATTTCCAAAATGAAATTAATTATCAGTTTTTCCAGCAAATAAAAGTTTTGCCTTATGATCTAGCTTTCTCAACTTGGTTTAATTTTAACAAAAAAGTATCCATCATCAAGTGCTCTACAAATTCGAAGAGGTTGAAGGGCATCTCTTTTCTTCGAAATTCAAAAGTTGAAGGTTTTTGAAAAAACATGTAAGTTTTTTTTTCAGTTGGCTATGTACAAAAAAGTATCAATCATAAAGAGTTTTAGCAATTAGAAAAGCCTAAAGGTCATTTATGTGTTTTTGAAATCCGAGAGTTTACACAAGCAGAGTTGGGATATAATATCAGTGATCAATTTCTGTATTAAAGAGTATATGATTGTAGTGAAGACCTATTTGATTTCATTTTCGCGTTTTGATTGCTTTTTAGGTCCAGTTCATTTCTTCTAGTAAAAGGCAAAATCCACTATCGAACAGCGAAAGTGCTAATGTCAAATTGGGTTAGTTTTAATTTTTTCTTGTACCACAAATTTTTGTTGTATTCAAAGAGCTTTCTATAGTCCATATGTTTTGTATTTGTTTAGTTCGAAAGTGAAAGTTGTTTTCAAAACACAAGTCAGTATTTTTCTTTTTCATTGCGTCGAATGAATCTTTTCCAACTGTCTGTTGTTTGTTTTTCTTGCAATATGCAATATAGTTTCTTTTTGGCGCGAAAAAAGTTGATGAATTTGTGTTTCGAAAGTGGATTTTGAGTTTTAGATTTCTTAGCGGAATTAAAATAACATTTGAATCCAGTTTTTTCAATTTGTATTTTAATATGAAAAAAAAGTGTCAACATTAAAATGTATTTTTTCTTCGCAATTCGAAAGTTTTCCAAAAAGCATTGTGTTATCCGTTTCCTTGAGTTCATTGACACTTCTCAAATTTTCTGTTGACCATGTTGAATTGGGTAACTTTCATCAGAAAGGTGTCAATCATGAATTTTTTTTTTAAATTCAAAGAGCTGTTAGGGGATGCTTTTCAAATTTAAAAGTTTTTAAAGCTAAGTTACAAGGTACAAGTTAGTTCATTAGCCTTCATCGGTCACATGGTATAAATTTTTCTGCGTGCTTCTTTCGTCAACTTTTTCATTTTGGAATTTTAGATCGTGCATGCATAGATGTCGACACACCACGAAGTTACCAAGACTCGATGACTGAAAACCAAGCGATCTTATGTCTGTTTTGATATAAATCACTGCACTCCTCAATCATTACATTAGGAATCTGAACAGATTATGGTCCCTCATTCTCTTTGAAAATATCAAACCATATATGGTGCTAAACTAAACCCAGCCAGATTGTCGCGTGATCAAAATAATGCCGACTACTTCAAGGAAGCAGTCGGAAGTGGCGCCGACTGGTCAGGGATACCTGAACAAACACGCGAATGCGCTGAAGGGATACCAGTCGCGTTTCTTCGTTATAAACATGGAACATGGTAGACTGGAATATTTTCTGACCAAAGGACAATTCACAGACACACCCAATGATTACAGAGGATGCATTCTCTTAGCTGGAGCAGAGGTTAGTTTATTGAAACTCTAGAAGTAATGAACGTAGTGAGTACTCTTATATAGATCTTGCTGATTTTTTTCTTTTCAGGAAAAGTTTTAAAATTTGTTCACGCTCAATTTTGATTTTTCGCGGTTTGACTTGTGATTTCTTTTTAAGTTCAAAGCATTTCCATTTTTAAAAGGAGGGCAAACTCCACTATCGAACAGTAAAAGTGTAAAGGTCACGAACAACGTGATCGACTTCTGATTTCGAAAATGGAAATCAATTATCAGATTTCCCAGCGAAATAAAAGTTTTACGTATTGATCCAGTTTTCTCAAATTGGGTTAATTTTAACAAAAAAGTGTCCCTCATGTATTGTTCTACAAATTCAAAGAGCCTAAAGGCCCTCTAATTTTTTATTCGAAATTCAAAAGTTGAAGGCTTTAGAAAAAACAAGTCAGTTTTTTTTCAGTTTCCTTAAGTTTATTACTATTTTCAAACTGTTACTATTTGGGGAGCAGTGGTGAAGTGGTTACGTCTCAGCCTCTCAATCGACAGGTCGGATGTTGGAGGCCCACTATGATCCATGCTCGTTGCTCGAGGGTGAGGCAACATTACCCAGCCCAGAAAAATAACCAAAAAATTGCATGTAGTTCTTAAGCAGGGCACAACAGCGGTTCGCCGTGATGAGCTGTACAGCTCGTATGTTGGTCCTATCCCTCTTAGATAAATGATCTTAAAAAAAAGTTTGATTGTTCAGCTTACATTCTTGTGAATATTGGATACGCGAGCTCTAAATATTAATTCTAAATAACAACTCGCATTATTTTGAGTAATATTGCTTTTTCCAAATGTCAAGAATTTTTTGTTTTACGGGTTGTGTTTTGTTGATAGTAGTAACGGTATCTTAATTCTGATTTGATTTGTCGGCGTGAGGGCAGCAAGCAGGCAACCTTTGTTTCATACTCGCCTGTATGTAGAAAGTTAGACAATAATGGAATGTCAGTAGGCGAAAAAAATCACGAATCGTGTTTCGAAGCATTCAGACTAAATTGGTCAAAAAGTTACTTATTTTTATTAAAAAGATCAAATTGAGTTGATTTTTTGAGATAACTTTGATTAGAAATAAGTTGAATTTTATTTGGATAATTTTTCCGCATACTGGTTTGTCTGTTAGGTTCTCTGCTGTTATTGCTGCCAACTGAAACTAAAAAAAAATTGAACCCGAGTATGACGCTTGTACTTGTCAAAAGTCACTGCCGTTAAGTTGACATGAATTCGATAAATCACGAAGTTAGCCGGATACTAAACGTCAGTGATTCAGTTTGAACCGTCTTGTTGTATGTGTTTTAAGCGGGTTAGCGGCATGTTAAGATCCGACTAATTTCGAGATTTATGGGACGCATTTCGCGACAGAAAATTTCTTCTCAAAAGAAAAGTTCATTTCCGTTTGACAATCTTAAGCTGCTAAGTTCAGCATTCATTCTCTTCTTCATTTTTTTTAGTGCTGAAAATCCTATTAATATTCTTCCTATGAATGTCAAATTTCTAAGAGTTGATCATTTCTATGACATGAAAATATATGTATATATTGGACAGAAAGAATAAATCTGTGGTATATATGTGGCCCGGCAACCTCATTTCCGTTGCACTAATATTACTTTGTACGCACATATGGCGCTAATTGTAAATTTATACCATCAAAAAGCACCAATTTGGATGGTGCAATGTAATTTCAGGGGTTGCCGCGAGCTTTTCTGCGCTAGTTGATTGGTGATTATAGAGAGAACATCCTTTTTAATCTTCTTCTCAGCGGATCAGATTAAATGGTATGAAAACAAAATCAAGTTTTGATTAGCTCATTTGTAATTCGGTTTTCTGAAAGGGAGTTTTGTTGGATTGCAAATCAGGAGCTCAAACTCCAAATAATGGAATTTGGGAAATTTCAATGAACTTTTATTATTTTCGCATCGAGCTAACCGCATCCATATTCCAACTGATTTTTTTGTTTCGTTTCTGATTTATCGTAAGTTATATCTTACCTTTCGCCAACTTCTTTGGAATCAAAGTCAAGTAACCGATAAAAAATGTCAGAACCTGAGTCAGAGTTAGACAGAACTTCATTTAAATTGAACCAGAACGAAACCGCCAACGGAGAAAATGAAGATTACAGTAATGAACATCACAAAAACAAAGAAAAGAAAAGCAAGAAAAAGAAAAGCGATAGTCATGGAAGCAAGAAAAGCAGAGAGCAGGAAAACTGTGAAATTGGCGAAAATGCAACAGAACGTAAGACCCCATATTTGGTTCGAACTGCAACACTCCTCGATGCTGAAGTGGAACCGGACGCAAGTTGGCAGACTGTTCTGATAGTTGTCCTGCATAAATTGAGCTGGTTTTTTGCTTGGATCCTTTGCACTGGTTGGATGTTGAAATTTGGTGGTGACATTGGCAAGCAATACGAAACGGGCGATCCAGTAACTGTTACGACATTCGTCGACCGAGAAGATTTCTCGAGGCCTTCGATTAAGATATGCAACAACGTCTTCTTGGATCCAAAGAAAGTTCTAGAATACAAGGATGATGTCATACCAGAAGAGTCTTATAAGTTTATAAGAGAAGCGATCAATAGAAATGACTTCAATGATTCTGGATTCGTTTTTGATACGCCTGTTTTGAATTTACTTCTGATGAGCTCAAGAACTGCGAATGCGTTTCGACTAGATATGGGTCAATTTATGATTGCGTGTGGAGATGGACCTAGATACTCCAATTGCTCCGAGGAGTTTCAATGGGTTCTTGAAGACTTCCGAGGATGTTACAAAACAAGGTTCAAAACAATGGAGCAAGTTGGTGCTTTCAATTCCTTTTCGGTTCTTCTTTACTTAGACCCCGAAGTGAATCTGGGCAAATATACGGCGGCGTTGGGAGCTGAAATTATTATTGGACATCACAGCGAGGATAAGTTCTCTAAATCAGACGGAATTTCGCTTGCCCCGAACGAATACTTGACAATCTCAGCTCATAATGTCATAACTGAACAAGAGCGATCATTAGAAAAGTCATCGTGTACCAACAAAAATGGTTTACAAGCTTATAATTTCACGGGGGATGAATTCGAAGTCACTTATTCGACCGTGTCATGCCGATCTATGTGTACTGCTCAGTTGTATTACAGCATGTGTAACTGTAGTCCGATTTGGGGCATGAATATAACTTACAGTGAATGTCTGGAAGATCAGGAGAAGCGCGAGTGCATCTCGAGAGTCTACAGGAATGACGTAAGAGTGGACTCCGAAATGCCGACGTTGGTCAAGTGCCTGGATGGTTGTATTCGGAAGTGTTTTAGTCGCGACTATGACTTACAAATATCAAGAGCGACTAGCTCACCAACTCCGGATTATTTGGTCAAAGAGTTGAAAAATGTTTTGGACAGCGGAACTGAAGATGAGCTGGCTAAACGGTTGTTAGAAAAGCTGGAGTCGGGAGAAATCTCAGCGAAAGAAATGGCAAAGAATGTAGCACAGCTGAATGTCTATCTGAAAGAGGAGAATTTAGTGAAGAAGATCAAAATTAGTCCTCTTTTGACTTTCCCGACTTTTCTGAGCAATATCGGAGGCTTGGTTGGAATGTGGCTGGGACTAAGTGTTATATCTTTACTGCATACGGCGGAAAAAATGCTGAGGTGGTCCGAGAAAAAACTGGAAATGATGTACAAAAAGAAAACCACGGCTAAAAAGATGGAAGAAGATGCTAATGAGATCGAAGGTTTTTCGGGAATTTGAGATAGAATATTAAATGAACTCTAAACTCAGTGTTTTTTTTTTTCAAATTAAAATGCGACTTCTAGTCACAGTAGAGGGAAAATATGACTGATCGGTAAAAGATCAACAATTACTCGTTAAAACAGATGAATCAAAATATCGCTGCTGTCCTCCCTCACACCTCATTGTGTAGTATTTACCCTCTTGTAGATAATAAATTTCTTAAAATTCTTTGATGGGAAATTTTAGCATCTGCTTTCAAATTTACTATTTCGAAGTAGTTCATCCAGCTGTTCAATTTATTTTAATTATTGAGTGTTTCTATGATAATATGTAGTAAGTTTTAATAATTTAGTATAATTATGTAACCAATTATATTGGCGAATTTTTGTTTCTGGGCTTTAGGCCAAAAAACACTGTTGTTCATGAAATCTTGAACCTACTGAATGTTTTTCAGAAGCTGCTTCAATTGAAAGTGATAAGTTCAATTGGTCGCTCGAGACGTTAATGATTCATGGTTCCTATCAAAAAATTTTTCAATAGATTGGTCGTGATGTTTTTCAAGACAGGTATTATTCATGATTACTACTGAATCCTAAATAACAGTGTTTAAAGATTTTTTTTTTCATATGCCAACCGTGACGTGTTTCAAGACGGGTATGATTCGTGATTACTACTAATTCCTGAATAACAGTGTTTAAAGAAACTTTTTCCCTAGCCAACCGTGATGTGTTTCAAGACGGGTATGATTCGTGATTACTACTAATTCCTGAATAACAGTGTTTAAAGAAACTTTTTCCCTAGCCAAATGTGATGTGTTTCAAGACGGTTATGATTCGTGATTACTACTAAACCCTGAATAATAGGGTTGAGGAGTTTTTTTCCATATGCCAACCGTGACGTGTTTCAAGACTGGTATGATTCGTGATTACTACTAAATCCCGAGGAACAGTGTTAAAAGAAGATTCTTTCCATATGCCACTCGTGATGTGTTTCAAGTCGGGTATGATTCGTGATTACTATTAAATCCTGAATAACCGTGTTTAATGAAGTTTTTTTTCATATGCCAACCGTGATGTGTTTCAAGACGGGTATGATTCGTGATTACTACTAAATCTTGATTAACAGTGTTTAAAGAAGTTTTTTCCCTATGCCAACTGTGATGTGTTTCAAGACGGGTATGATTCGTGATTACTACTAAATCCTGAGGAACAGTGTTTAAAGAAGTTTTTTCCATATGCCAACCGTGATGTGTTTCAAGACG